CTTAGAAATTAAAGCCATATGCATACCATATTAAAAAAAAAAAATAACCCAACCCAGGCCATTCCATTATTGCTGACCATAGGAATTCAGTATTTATAATTTACATTCTTTCCCATACTTCGCTGTTTTTCAGAAGTGAAGAGCAGAGGTTTATGGCCTCACCAGATCATAAATCAGATTCCTGAAGGTAGAGGGAGCTGCCGTAGGCTGAGGAACTGCCTTCTGACAGTTTGCAGAATGCGTCAAAACATCAGGAAAAGTACCCAAATGGAGACGGGACCTGCTTCAAGGAATGACAGCTTGACTCATTTGAAGCCACAGAAACAGGACTGATGAGGCCACAGTCCATGCACTCATAAACACTAGTTATTGTTCCATCCAGCACACGACCAGCCAAAATCACATGGGGAGCCAACGTCTGGGGAGAGGCTTGGAGGTTTGGCCTTCCCTCACAAAGTGAGCACCTGAGAGCTGACTCACACCAAGCCTCCTTCCAGGGGGAGGAGGGGAGACAAAGGCCTGGGCGCCTCCATCGGAACAGGCTTCTCACTGTCCACGTGTCGGCCACTGATGCTGGCTGGAAGCAAGGTGGGGGCGGGTACATGAAGGCTCTAGTTTGGCAATGAGGCATAAGAGCTGTGTACAAGAATCAAGTCAAGGAGCCTCAAGTGGAAGAAAGAGCATTAGGCTCTGGTTGATACGACAGCCTCTAATGGCTGTGTGCTCTTGGGTCAAGGACTTCTCCTCCCTAAGCTTCATGACCCGGGAAAATGGGGATCACACCACCAAACTCACAGGATTCAAAAAGCACACACACACACACACACACACACACACACACAGTGCTGGACCCATGGAGCAGGGGAAGGGTGGTTTCGGGGACACCCTTTTCCCCTGGAACTGAAAATGCCATCCTGGTTCTTGGCTCACTAGCAAAACCAGCTGAGTGTTACTGTCGCCCTGGGAAGATTCATGGGAGCAAGGGGGTCCCCGGAGCCCCACCCAGAGGTCTTTCCAAGGTTCTAAGTCCTCTGAAAGCCTGTCTGGAAGATAGGTTAGCAGTGGCCCATTAAACACATGCCCCCGCTCCTGGTCTGGATTTTGTCCACTCCAAGAGAAGGCATAGGATTCTAAACATTTTGAAAGCTGGAGATCTTTCTTAAGTCTTTTCTGGGTTGCACCCGTAAAATACCTAATCAGTCCATGACGTCTGCAGTCAGACTGACGAGAATGAGCCAAAGCAGCACTTTGTCAGGCAAGAGGGAATAGTTAAGGTTTACAGTCAAGATTTTCCAGTATGGATTATTACATAAACCCTGCCTGCAATTTGACACCATAATTAAGGCTATTGTATGTATACTTCAGACATGAAAATGCAGGATTTTGGTTCTTTAGTCTCAGATTTTTCTACTTTTCTTTTAAAGGCAACCAGTTCTTATTTCCTGTGGTTTGTAAAACCACAGTTAGTTACCTTTTCTGAGCATCCAGAACGGGAACACAGCCTGTGTAGAAACACCAGTATCTGAGGCCCTGGGGAGACTGCGTAGGGAGTGGGGGGCAGGAGGCCAGGCAGATGGAAGAAAACCTTCAAGACATTGTGGGACATTATCGGCACCCACAACTTGCAGGCCCTAAGAGCATATTTCCAGAGCCTTCCAATAACAAAGAAAAGAATAATTAATACCCGGGGCACAAGAGGTTCAAGTGTGAGCCCAGAATGGCTAAGGAGGCTGGTGGCTGGCTGCATCAGCTGTGAAAGCAAACCTCTTGGACAAATTCTCTTTTCTGAATGATGTTCTTGTCCTCACTGGGTTTATAATGGATTTGCCAATACGCTTCTCCTTGCTCCAACAGGACAGGAAGGCTGGGGACCAGGAGTCCCTTTTGCCAGCACTACAGGCAGGAAGCTTGCCTGTCACCCACCCCTCTGGCCAGCCATGTGTGCTGTCTTCAGTCAGAGTATCATGATGTATAATAAAAACCGAGCTTCGCCATGGGAGGCCTTGGAGCTACTTGGACCTGTTACAAATCCTTACCAGCGTGAGACTATAACAACAAATATTTTCTTATAGGGCAGGCAGCTTCAAAATCTACCCAAAAAAGCTGCAAGAAAGGGAATGTCAAGATAGACAAAGTCACAGATGAATTTCTGAAATGGATTAAAGGTACTCTTTAGTAAACATAGGAGACAAGGAAGATTTTTACAATTCGGCATCCCAACAAACTAAAAAACAAAAAAATCAACGTGTAACTATTTTTCCCATTCTTTGGTAGACATTAATAAAATAATTCCTCTAAATTCACAGAAGATAGCAAAAGTTAAAAAAAAAAAAAGCTGTTAAGTATTTATTGCATCAAAGATAAAAAAAGTTCCAATTAAAAATTTTTGTGACTTTCGCTTATGGTAGTCCATGCATCAGGTTTAGAATAAAATGTGATCAAGGGAAATGTAAAAATCGAATTATGGGCTAGCAGTGAGACTCTACAGCCCATCGGTCTTAGCCGGTACTAACGCTGACCCTTGCAAAGAACCAAATCTCAAAATATAACCCTTGCAAAAGCACACACATGTATGAAGGAGAGATGCCTCTATGATGAAACACTGATGGACAGAAGTCTTGGCTCTCCTTACATCTTGATTTCAATCCTGTAAGTGGGAATATATTGAGGATCACAATAGCTTGCCTGTGGGATTTCTAGTTTCTCTAACAACAAGAAACCTGGTGAACACTGTGGCGGGCCCAGGAATTCTGCAGGAGTCGCTGAGCATAATTCAAAGAGCATGTAAGTCAAATCCCCTGTGTTTAAAGTGCTCACTTCAGTCTGGTTTTCAGTGGGTAACAGGTAGTTCTATTCCACCCTGCATTTAGCCTCCCCCCCTGTAAGGGCCTGACCAAGTGCATGCTTATAGACGAATGAAACAATCCAGTATCCAAAGGGAGAGCTCTGACAAAAAGAGATGTCACTTAGAGATGCAGCTTCATGGGGAAGACCAACAGGGCTGAACCTGATGTGTCTGGTAAAGAATTTTATTTTATTTCTCCTGGGTGAGTACTTTATACACAAGTTCACTATAGAAGTTCTAGTGAAAATAAGGCTGGCATTTATGGGATGTCTTTTATCATCAAAATGTTTAACGGGTCCTAGCATTGCTGTGGGAGCAGTTTGGCCAAGTCTTTTACAAATGGTTAAAACAGACACAAGAAAAGTGGGGAAGGGCCATGGAAAGCCCAAGAATGACAAAAAGGGAAAAGTAGCTAATACTCAGTACAATGCTACTTATGGAGAAAAACACATAAGACATTCTTTGAGCATTATGTCCAAAAACAATGGTGGCTTTTAAGAGGGCAGTTTGCAAATCGTCAACGTGAGATGATTTGCAAGAGAATCATTTCTGATATTAAATGATGCCTCTGATCTATTTCCATCAACGTGAGGTCCATTTCCATAGACACGAGTGAAAAAGTAGGCCAAACCCAGCAGTATGGTGTCCAGGAGGAATGGCAGCCGAGGTTCTGGCCGGTCACAGAAAGCATTGGTTTTGTACCTACTGTGCCCAGAACTTTTACTGAAAGGGAAAAGAGAAAGTGTAAACTCAAAGAACAGGCACAGACAGCATCGGAGGGCTTTGTTGGGATTTCACACAAAGCCGTGGAGGAAAAATGGTCTCGTGTGCACTTTGCTTTTCAAATATCCCACAGGAAAGTCAGCCACTGGGTGCTAAACAGGTACCTCCCTCTGTGCCGGCCTCAGAGAAAGGAAACACGTTGCATCAGTCTGACCCGACAAGGAGTTAGAGGAGCGTTCAAGTGCCAGACCAGGCTCTCCCAGATAACAAACTTGGAAACGCTCAGTGACGTGGGCCAGGTACAGGAAGGAGAGTTGAGGCGGACCATGTATATGATATTATGGTGTACTCAGGAGCTCAGTGCTCAGGAAAGCAGAATGCATGAGGAAACAAGATGAACCCGCCTACTTGCAAAGAGAGTTTATGGTGTACCGATGTTTTAAAAAGGCCCTTAGATGGGCTACGGAAGCGAGAGTGGGTTTATGAAAGGGGACCTCGGCTCTCTCGGTCCTTGCTGGGAAGGACGGGGCTGCAGTTTGGACTGCACGTGAAGGCGCACAGCCGCGGCCCCTCACGGCCAGCCCCCCACCCCGGCCACCGTGCCAGCTGAACGAATACAGGCACTCCTCCGCTGGCAAGACGCCTGGCTGCCACGGCAAGTCTGTGTGAGGCTCTCAACCAAGTGATCACCAGAGGCTCAGAGCACAGGATGTGACCCCGGCTTTGCATGATTCATTTAACCCCTTCACCCCAGAATTCCTTTGCAGAAAAAGAAAAACATGACACTTCTGTGGTGAAAGATTTCCTTAAAGGGGGAGAAGACATGAAAAACTCTGCTCTGTAAATGAGGAACAGAAGGATTTCCTTGGGCAAGTTTAGATCTATAAGCCAATCGGCTGAGCGCCGATCACTTGGTAGGGAGAAAAATCCAACTTGGTTGATGTAACCATTACCATGTGAAAACACAATGACTATCTTGTTCATTTCCCATTGATTACTTTGGGAGCTCAGGAAATGTAACATGTATCTGTAAGTCCTCTACAATACATATTTTTCTTCTTTTCTCTTTTCACTATATAAACACACATACACATTCATATTATCCTTAAAGTCACTTGAAAAACACAGCAATTGCTTACAAGTGGTGAAAAATACCAATACGATGCAAAGAAACGAGCATTTTTTAGAGACTAATCTTTGATGGGCTTTAACGTGTATTATTTTATTTAAAACAGGGATCCATCAGAGGTGGTGAACTACCAGGGTAAATGTTCTAGAGCATGGCACACAGATGAAAGGTAATACTCACCAGCACCTCACATGGGACTAAAAGACAAGGTCAGCAACACACCATGGAAGGAAAACAAATAAAATGTAAAAGGCACCTGGCTGGGAGAGAAGCTGCGATGTGCATCGCCTCTCAAGCAGGCTCACTTCTGTGCACTGTGGATAACTCTGGACAAATGACATTCAGAACAAACAAAAAAGGTTCTGATCTGAAGCCCAGGATCCTATGTAGGTAGCCAGTCTTTCCTCAGACTGGTTTACACCACTGTGTGGTTTCAGGTCCTAAAAGGGGGATGAGTTTGCCAGACAGTAACACAAATGCTCTCCCCATTTTCTTCTTCAGGAGAGAGAAGAGCTTTCCCCCAACTCAATTTCAGCAGTGGCTTCTGAAGGCTTTTAAGCATCCTAACTTAACAACAAATAAGATACCAACAATAAAAGACAGAAGAGTGGCCTGAACTTAAACCAATCAGTCAAATGGGAAAGGCAGATTTATAAAAATAAAAACTGGTCACCAGTGTTAACGTACCGTTAATGCCCTGTCTGAATGAAGGTGTTTCAACTAACTGCAACCACAATACACGCAAGCGGTGCTGCTCCGGGCAGCTGTGAGTGAGAGGCCACCCTTCCTGCAGATGCTCCGTACGGCTACCAGTGACCGCACGCCAAGTGCTGAAGTTGGAGGAGACCCCGAGCTGGCGAAGGATCCCGAGCACTGACCTGCCTCACGTGGCTGGGTCTGTGGGAAACAAGACTCACGCGCTCTCAAATAATGACCCCCAAGTCCCCTCTCCTCGTCCCAATGGCACCGCATGTTTGCCCTCCCGACAGGGAGGTCCAAGCCTTTCTGTCTCCCTCTCGGTTCTAGGCACTCTCTGGGACGTCTGCGATTAACCGGGCTCCTTCATTTCTTTCCAACTCCGTTGGTGACTTTTGACTTGGAATGTCGATTCCTTCTTCTGGAAGAGTGGCTTTCGTTGTTGCCCGGATGCTTGGGTGGGCTGTCTTCAGAACCTGGCCAAAGGAATGAGAACACGCTGTCACCCTGAGCGTGGGGTTTGCGGGCTCGCTCCTCAGATGGGCAGCTCGTCCCACTCAGGCCGCCCTCTTCTGATACATGTGCTCCACCTAGTGGCTTCATGGATCCATGAAGGCAAGGCCCTGAAACCCCAGCCCGGAGCTAGTGCAGCAGCCAAGCCTGTGTATGCAAGGGGATGGCCCCACAGAGCTGGGGGCGTGGGGAGCAAGGGCATCCCGAAAAGTGTTTACACTCTCACTGTGTAAGGCGGATTGTGTTCATGGCAATGGGGTCAAGAAGTGACCGTAAAAATGAAACCAAAGAACAAGGAGGAACAATTAAACCACATGGGTGTTGGGTCTACCCTCACAACCAAAGGATGCATCCCCTAGGTTTCCACACCTTGACCTGTTATACACCGGAGTTTCTACATCCCTAAATGAGAAAGAATTCCTGACTTTATGAAAGTAAAGACATTACGACCTCTCTCATTTGATCCAGAGGACACCTTTAAAACCTAGGTCGCTTCTGCTCATGACGGCTCTGGAGCCTCCCACAGAAGATGGCACACACCCTCAAGACTCTCACAGTTGGCAGTATTTGTCACACCATTATTTGTTTGCGACCTCAGAGAAAAACTTCCGTGTCAACCGGACGCTGAGCCACCAGCAGGCATCAGGCAAGGTGGAGGGTAGAAGTGGGGGAGCAGGGAGAGGGTGGGCCTTCCGGGTAACCGTGTGTAAGGAAGGCCTGGAAGGTGAGCAAAACTTCCTGGCATTGGACTGGCTGTGCCTAAAGACTGAGCGTGTGGCCAACCTCTGGCCCAGCAGTCAAGCCAGAGAGTTCTCTGCTTCAGGGCTCAGATCCAGCCCCAGAGGAAATCTCCACCCAAGACGGCCATTCAAACAAACAAACAAACAAGACAAAGAAAAAACTTCTCAGAATTTGGTCTTCATTGCAAAGGCCATTTGGCTTTGTCCAAGAGATTCTTTTACTGCTCTGAAGATTCTCTTTTTTAGTTTACTCTTTGTCTACCTTTCATTTATATCTCTACCACTGCTTGCTTCGTGTAGTCTTTTCAATGGAGAAGGGCCTGCAAGTACCAAGAACGGATCTGTGAGGGGATGGTTCTGAAGGGCGGAACCCCAGGGAACCCCTCCGTCCACTTCTATCAGCGTTCCAACATAGGGCGCCTATCGACTCCTTGATTCAAGAGTCTCAAAAAGGGTGACTGGCAACTCAGCAGAGAACATGCTAGCATTTTCCCCAGAAAGAGCTCTAAAAAGCTCGACGCCAAAAGAACTCAGGAAAGCAACCGCAACAGTAGTGCTTTCCTCTCCCTGGGCCCACGGTTTCTCTGGGCAATTCTGTGGGCTAAATTTCACCATCTCCAGTGTTCATAACTCTCTCCCCTCAGGCAGCCTTCCAATGGGCTCACGAGCATTGCCCAGAGATTACTGGCCAGTGGAGCCTCCTTGGTATCATTCCACAAGCCTTAATTCTTTAAAATACCCAGGTAGCCCCAAATCTTTCCAAAAGGCTCCTTGGAGAGGCCAACGGGAGATCCCCGGCTATACTACCAGAATTTTATTCTGGCCTGCCTCCTGAATAAATACGATGAAATCAACCCACCTCTTCTGAAAGCTCCTCCTCCCAGTGCACAATTCTTCCTAACCCTTTTCACTCAGGATGAAAGCCAAGAGGAAGAACATTCCCAATAGGGTGCTTGGGACAGTACGGGCCTTGCCTCGTTATGTTTTCCTGTGTCAGAAGAGGCAGAACCACATGGTGCCTCTTCTTTAGAAGCAAGTTTCTTGGGCAGATCCTGACAGCACTTTGCAGTTTTCATTAATAAGTAACAGACGACATGGGATAAGTAGACATGAGACCCTTCAGGGCATACATACACTTATCACCATTCTGAGGATAAATCTTGATTCCAAATCTGCTCACTGGGCCTTGGGAGGAAGAAAACCCAGGAAAGTTGTTTGTTTAGTGTTTGTTTGTTTTTGAGTGAGTGAGAGAGAGAGAGAGACAGAGAGAGAGAGAGAGAGAAGAGAGAGTGGGGGAGGGGCAGAGAGACTGAAGCAGGCTCCAGGCTCTGAGCTGTCAGCACAGAGCCTGATGTGGGGCTCGAATTCATGAACCGCAAGTACATGACCTGAGCCGAAGTCAGACACTCAACTGACTGAGCCACCCAGGCGCCCAGGAACCCAGTCAAGTTTTAAGCAGTGAGGAAGAAATACCTTTTGTACCTTTCCCATGAGACCAGGAGATATCTGGACTGTAGGTGCCATCTTCACACTCGGAGTACGTCTAGAGAGAGAAGCAGACTTAGTGATGGAGTTTCAAGGACTCCCTGGGGCTGCAGGACAAGCAAGGGAGGTCACTCTGCCCCTATACCACCAGCAAGTGACAGAACCTCCCCATTCGTAGGTTCCTTGGCTATAAAGCCAGGACTGTCTTCCAGGTGACACAGAATCAATTGTCTAGAAAGAACCTTTAGTTCCTCAGACTTAATATGAATTAAGTATGAATCGAGTATGAAAGCTATTATTTTCCTTAAAAAGATATTATACTTTGCAAGACTGCTGTAGCATTTTAAGCTCACTCACATCCATTTTCTGCTTTAATCCTTGTGTCCACTACACGGTGGGCAGGGCGGGCCATTTACAATGGGGGAGAGCCCCAGGCTGGGTCACAAAGAGGCCTGCGCAAAGTACAAGAGCCGGGAATAAAATCCAGCCTTTCAAAACCCAGTCCGGGGCTCTCCCCACAATTTTATTTTTAAGCAGACACATAATTAGGTTTTAAGCCCCTTTATAAAAGGGAGGATAAAAACACTGACCTACTGAACAGGGCGCTCACAAGCAAGGACGGCAACCGATAGGGAACGGGTCCTGAACCGGTTACGTTTCTACAGCGGCAGGACTGAACCTGCGTGCTCACACAGTTGGCTACACCACATTCTCACAGGAATGTGCTTCCCTGCTAAAGCTCCAAGCAGGATGTGATTATTTTACAGAGACCATCTCTGCCCTTCCTTCCATACCTTTTCTCGGTGACCATAGTGCTCTGCGTACCAAACCATGCCGTACAGACACAGGAAGGTGGTGAAGGCCTGGCAGAGAAAACCAAGCATATTTCATAAAACAATGTTGCACCAAAAAAAAAAAAAAAAAAAAAAAAAAAAAAGAAATCCCATTTCCCAGACTTTCAGGGTCTCAACAGTAATGTACAGAGGACGGCTTGATGTGGTTCTACTGTCTCTCTGAGGACACTGGTTACAAAATGGCAGAGCTAGTAGGGTTGGGGAGAGCGTTCCCCCCACAGCTTTTGACAAGAGTTATGACCAGACCGTAGTTACTACTCACGACGCTAATAATCAGAATGCAAGATCATTTTTAGATGTAGGATAAGGTGGGATGTATTTTCTGCACAGTTTTGCAGGTCTTCCTACAGAGGATACATAGGATTATATATGCTTTATTTCTGGTTCTCACGGCCCATCCTCTGCCCCCATCACTGGAAAGTTACAAGGACTCTCAGTTTGTGAGCTTCCGTGGGGAAGACGAGTTCTGAATGAAAAAGGAGCTTCATTCAGTCTGGGAGCACAGTGGCGCTGGAGGGCATTTAGGACCGAGGCCCACTGTGTCTGAGTGGGTGGCTCTGCACTGCTCTCTCACTGCTGTTTTGTCTCTGTGGCCCCACCCCAACCCCAGTTCTGGTTGCTTTTGTTTTTCTTCTGTAAGTACATAGGAAGTCAGAGAAAACAAAACGGCTCTGTAAACCCCTGAGTGAAATGAGAGGGGCATGGCCTGTGGGTACCCAGAGGCAGGGATAACCTCTACTTCCCCGAGACTCCCCACCCACCTTGCACCACACCCTAAATTATACTCCAATTTAAGCAAAGAATAGCATCTACAAGAGTCCGAAGTTTTAACATGTGCCAAAACACTGAAAATCCGGGAGAAGTTTCTGGGTGCCTTGCCAGAGCACTAAAGGAGAGAGGGAGGGTGTGCCTCAGCATTGTTAAGGACAGATGAACCTCCGCCAGGCCCTCCGGCCAGGCCTGACTTTCCCAACCGTAAATGAATCACCAAAACAAAACAAAATGACTGTCCCTCCTGTCTTTAGAATTCCTTGCCTTAGGAACTCACTGACACCAAAGCACTCTCCCTATCTGGTCTCTGGTTCTTCTCCTGCATTTCCTGTTAAGGCTGTCACCTTGAACCAACTATGTGAACAGTCGTGAAATCATGGTAGAACCTTCTCTTCTGGAATAATTTTAATTCTCTCCGAGAATCGTAACTTTTTAATTTTTAAAAGTTTGTATTAATTTTGAGAGAGAGAGAGAGAGAGAGAGAGAGAGAGAGAGACAGAATACCCCAAGCAGGTTCCATGCTCAGCACAGAACCTGATGTGGGGCTCAATCCACAACCATGAGATCATGACCTGAGCCAAAATCAAGAGTCAGATACTTAACTGACTGAGCCACTCAGGCACCCCAAAACTAATTCCAGATCCAAAAGATATCATTCATTTCAACTCCTCTCATTTCACAGAAGGGGAATGAATGTTTGGAGAGGTGTCTATTCAAAGGCACACATTTAGTATGTGGCAAAACTGGAGCCTGAACACAGGTCTCTTGATTTTCCTGGATCCAAGGTTTAGGGATGGCTGTAGAGATAAACAAATACTGGTTTTATGTCTACACATCTTTATATCTCTTTCCATCCATCCATCCATCCATCCACTCACCCACCTCCGGAGAAAGAAAAGCATGCCGGGAATAGCCAGGACCAGCAGCATCCCTGTGCACAGCCCCCAGATGCAAGGGTGGAGCCGAGACTGCAGGCAAGGCAGGGCTGTGAACTCTCATCACTGCAGTGTGCAGTCTAGCTCTGGCCCCGTTCCTGTCAGTCAACATTTGTTAAGCGTCTGTTGGGTGTGCAGTGTCATCTTAAGTGCAGAAAGACAGGACTATGAGTGCTCTGGCGGGCCTTCTCCTTCTAGGTCAGTGAAGTGGGAATGCCGGCATGGTGGAGACAGAACATGAAATATAAGGCCCACTGCTTCATTTTATTTTAAATCCATATGCAAGTGGACATACATATGCAGATGAGGGATTTAAAGAAAAGGAAGCTCATATCCTCCCCCATCAAAAAATTAGGCAGTGGTAAAGCATAAGAGACTCTTAAAAACTGAGACCAAACTGAGGGTTGATGGGGGATGGGAGGGAGGGGAGGGTGGGTGATGGGTATTGAGGAGGGCACCTTTTGGGGTGAGCACTGGGTGTTGTATGGAAACCAATTTGACAATAGATTTCATATATTGAAAAAAAAATTAGGCAGCGGGGGCACCTGGGTGGCTCAGTCGGTTGAGTGTCTGACTTT